TAGCAGCTTCTGTTCCCCGAGCGCAGGGCGCCCACCCCAGGAGAGTCGCGGGCGGCAGCGGGGACGCCCGACCCCGAGTGCGCGGGGAGTTGGGCGCGTCTGCAGCCGGAGCGCAGCCGGACAGCCCTGTGTGCACACCGCCGATGGTGGCCTCGGGGTCGTGTGCGCGCCTGCGCAGGAAGGAGGCCTGGCCACGTGAACATGGGGGCAATGGAGAGGGGAGACAGAGGGGAAGGATGGGGGAGCCCTGAGGGAGAGGAGTGCAAGGCGCTGGCCGCGTCTTCACCTCAGGTCTCCACTGCAGGTCACCGTCACGACTCACCTGCAAGAAAGGCGCCCATGCCTGCTGGACTCAGCCCCCAGGACTCATTCGTAGAAATAAAACCTCCCATGCTGCCTCCCCTGCACTGTCACTGTCCAGGTCGCGTCTCCTGTGACGACCACACGGTCCCACCTCCCCCGCTGCCCCTGGGCTCAAAGCCTGGTTTCCCGGGACCTGCCGTCTCTCCAGTGCTTGTTGGCTGCAGGGGGTGCACGCTGGGCCCTCCACCACTTTCACTGAAGAAAGATGGTCAAGCGAGGAGACAGCTAACGGCCACTAGGGTCAGTGTGCAGCCAACAGCAGAATCAGGGCTGGGCCTCCCTGTATTCAGTTCACAGACAGGTTCCCTTCTGGGCCTCCTTGGGGAGGGCAGACAGCAGTGCGTGCGTGCGTGTCTCTCTCCTGCGCGCGTGCGTGTGTCTCGCAGGCCACCGTGTGGGTGGGCGGGCGAGCAGGCTGAGCCGCAGTGACAGTGTAGGGCCACCATGTCCAGGGACAACAGCAGGAGTGCTTTCATGTGGCCACGAAACTGCACTACTGTTCACTATTTTTCTTCACATTAACTCCCCTTTTCTTCCAGACCCCCTTCAGCCTCATGCCAAGTTCCGTGGGTTCTGACTGACACTAATCACGTCTTGGCGCTCACACGTTTCTGATGCTACGTATCTCTTCATGTCTCTATTAGCACCGAAACCTACAGATTTAGTAGCATTTGAACCTGAAAATGCACAACCGAGAAGCGTTGACACAGAAAGATAAATACATGATTACGTAAGTTTTCATCGTGCACCACCCGGAAGCGCCTGGCACACCTACGGCTCTGGGAGGTGCAGACAGAACCCTGACGCTCCAACAGGCCCTGCGGGCTTCCCTGGGCTGCGGGCAAAGCACCGCACGCGGGTAGCCTCACAACAGAGACCTTGTCTCAGGAATGGAGCCCAGCAAGGTGTCGGCATGTCAGGTCCTGTTGAGGCCATGGGGAAGGGCGTCCCCGTCTTGCCCCCCGGCACCACCTCGCCCCTTGGCTGGCAGACTCTTCTCCCAGTGTCTCCTCACATCAGCTTCCCTTGGAGCATGTCTGTCCCTGTGTCCAAATTTCCCTTTTCTGTAAGGACACCAGTCACCCTAATGCCCTCATTTTAACTTGACCATCTCTGTAAATCTCCAAATAGCTCGGGGCTAGTGGAGTCAGGATTTCAACATGTGGATCTGGGGGGATGGTCAGCTCAGCACACGGGGGCCTCCCCGCGTCCTCTTCTGCTCCATCTGTCTGCAGCCAAGTTGGTTTCTGACAAGTGTCTGACCAGCTGTTCAGTCAGCCCGACGGGGCTGAGGCCCCCAGGCTGCATCTGGTCACCCTCCAACAGGGCGGTCCCTGCTATACATCTGCAAACCAGGAGCACATCTCCGAGCCGCTCGGGATGTCTCGGCTTGTCCGAAAGGCGCGCAGTCTGTTCCTCTGCAGCTCTGAACTTCTGCTCACCTGAGCCCCGGGACTCCGGGGCTGCGGGGGAGTTAGCGCTGCAGAGAACACAGGGAGCTAGGCGCCTGACCACAGCTTTTTCAGACAAAAACAATCATTTTTTCGTCAGTTTTCCAACTGGTCTTTTGTATGAGCTTTTGTTTTACAACACACGGGTGCCTTGCTGGAAAGAAAATCTGAACCTCTAAACAGCATCAATTTCCCATCACGTGCTGTGGTCGCAGGCCGAGCTCCGCCACACACCAGCCCCTACAGGCCTCCTAGGTGCCACCATGTCCCCCAGCCCAGCAGCTCTTCTGAAAAGGCCCTTCTGAGGCAGACGCTGCTATGATCACACAACTACCTGGCTCTGCCGTGGCTGTGCCCGCACTGCCAGAGCCAAGGAGAAACACGGGGGAAGGGCTGGGGGGGAGCCTGGTGATGCAACAGCACACAGCCGCCGGGTTAGGGCCATGCGCCACGCCCGCCCACCTGGGCCTGCTGCTCAGCAACAAAGATCTTTCCTGGCTTTACTGCGATGAGAGGCGCACGTGACGATGTGGTACTCTACGTACAGACGGAACTACCTGTTTGTGGTGAGAACTGTTACCACCGGTCTCCCTGGCACCTGTGCCCTTTGAACTGCACCTCCCAGCCAGCCCCTCAGCCCCTGGCACCACCACTCTGCCTCCAAACTCTGATCTTTCGTACCTCCAAGTGTTTTCCAACGGCTGTTGGCAACACACAGCTGATGTAGCCGCAGCCCTCAAAGAGCGCCACCTCCCACCCCCTTCGGCCCTGCGGCCGCCGTCCATCCCGCTGTCAGTCTGCACACCCACGGTCGGTGCTGCCACTAGCCTCAGGAAGTCAGTCTGAGAGGGACTGCAAACAGGAGCAACGATGCCTTTCCCATCCACCTTCGCTCGTAGGTCTTCATTCCGTGTGCAGAGCAGGCCTGCCTGCTGAAGAGCTTCCCTTAGCTTTTCTTACAGCCCATCTGCAGGGATGAACTGTTTGGTTTGAGTCTATTTCTCTCATGTTCCTGATATTTTTTTCCGGGTACAGACTCAGCTGCCAGTCTCCCATCCAGCATTCAGAGATGTGGCCCTGCTCCCTCCGCTTGCAGCTTCTCACAGGGCAGCTGCTCCAATCCTGTCTTTGATTCCTTTAAGATGTGTGCCTTCAGTTTCCTGTGTGCTTTTCCAGTGGTTTAAACATGCTGTTCATGGTGTTCTGTCCTGAGTGGTTTTGTTCTGCTGTGCATCCTGCTTGGGGGGAGACGCTTGGACATGTTTGTGATTAAAAAAAAAAATTCTTGGCCATGATTTCTTCAAACAGCTCTTCCATCCCATTGTTCCAATTTGGGTAATTTCCAGGGACCCCACCGCCTGCTTCCTCCGCCGGGGTCCCTCACAGGCCTGCCCTGCCCCATCACCGTGCTCTCGTCCCCGAGAATCTCCATGGGACCCCCTCCCAGCTCTGCTGAAGCCCCCCTGCTCTCCACGTTCACCATGACAGCCTTCAACATATTAATCCTCACTGTTTAAACTCTCCTGCCTGCATCTCAACGCCCAGGTCACCACAGTCTGGCTCCGCTGACTGCTCTGTCTCTTGGCGGTTTTACCTACTCTTTTGTGTCTTGTGATTTTTACCAAGTGCCAGAGCCGAGTGGAACCTGTGTGGGACAGCAGTGCCTGAAACGGCGGCCTTTCTCCCGCCAGGCCGACAATGGGCAGGGCCTGTGGTGCCACACAACCCCCGTGGGGGCTGCTCCCTCAGCTGTGCGTCTTCGTGCCCAGTTCAGCCAGGCCTTACTCCAGTGGGAACTCCTGCCCTCCCTTGGTAGTGGACGCTGTGTTAACCGCTGCTTCCTCCCTGGGGGTCCTGGATGAGGGGCTGAGGGTCCTCGTGGCCCTCCCTTCCGGAGCAGGAGCGGACTCCTGCATGGGGACGTCTCGGGGTGGGACAACCGTGGCCTCTACTGTCGGAGTCCGGGACACACCCACCACTTTCAGTGTCCAGAACACCACCTGGTTCACTACCTGGCGCTGTGCTGACTGGATCCGGTGAGCAGGAAGCAGCAATTCAGATGCTTTAATAACAGTGAACTAAATTAAGCATGAAAAATGAAATCCCCCAAACTCAGCTGAAGTTTCTGGGGATTCGATGGTCTGCAGTCCAGCTGCCGTCCCCCTCAGAAAACACGCAGGTAAGGGACACACTCGCAGCCTTGCTGGGTTCAGGGGCAGCATTGCGACGTCTGGATGTGTCACTTCACCCTTCCACACAGCACCACGTGGCTCCCGGTTCCAAGTGGGATGGGATGAGGTCAGGCTGTCAGATGTGCTGCTTGACCACCGAACCTTATGACCAAGGAGCCCCAGCGACGTTCACAGCGACGGAAAGCACGGACGTGCCCCGGAGACGCCAGCCGGGATGGCGGGGACAGCAGCACAGACCTCCAGGCTTCTGAGCACATCAGACCCCGTACTCTGGAGACACTCGGCCTCCTCTCCTGAGCACGGATCACAGATGTCAGTGACCAAGTGACCCCCGAACATGAGCGCACTGACCCGCTGGGCCAGCGCGGGGTGTGGGCAGTGGGGACATGGCCCGTCCCAAGCTGCAGCAGGAGCCTCCAACTCTCAGACGCCTGCTGCCGGCCTCCTCCAGTGTCCCTGTGCCCATGTGCCAGGATCCCTGAGGGGCAGTGACCAGGGAAGCCCTCCCTCCGAGCTGTGCGTCCGGTAACCTACCTCGTCTGGAATGCGACTGGGCCCAAGGACTGACCCACATCAACTCATGGGGCGATGCCAACAGCTCAGCCAAAGGTGCAGAAGGACCAGGACTGAAATCAGTGACAAGATCTGGGTGGGGACAGACATCTGAAAACGTGAAGGGACCAGGCTCACCAAATGATCTCTGCAGAGAACACTCACCACTGGGTAGACAAACGGCCTCTTGTGGAGTAGACAGCTCACGGCCCCAGCCCTCACGCCCACTCTGTGGGCCCGTGAGCTCTGGGGACACTGAGATGGGGCAAAGGCCAGAACAGGAACCCCCGCGGGGCACCCAGTGGCCACCAGACCAGCACTGAACCCCTGGCGCAATGCCACCTCACTTCCTGGGACCAGCTGGCCACCTGCTGGCAGGTCAACCACACAGAGGGAAACGGGGAGCCTCCTGCCCTGCCCATCAGCGCCACCCAGGACACCTCCCAGGCATTGCCTGACTGGGGGCCGAGTGCAGCCCGGGCCACACAGCAACAGGCTGGCATCCACGCAACTGACCGCTTGTGAACGGCCTGCGTCTGTCTTCCAGGATGACTCGCTTCTAATCAGAGACACTGTGGGGTGCTGACCCCTGTGGCTGGAGTGTGCAGGACCCAGGATCACAGGGCGGGTGACACCAACAACCTAAACGTTCATTCCCGGCCTGGAAAACTCTGGTTTGAAGGTCTCAGACCCCAAGAGGGCGCTTCCTGCAGTGGACACATGGTGGTCCCAGAGAACCTGGGAGATCACTACACACCAGGACTGGCCGGCTGCTCGGAGCCCTGGGCACTCGCAGGTGCTGCCCGGTGTCCCATGTAAGGGAAGTGAAGACCAGCCGAGGGCGGGGTGTGTGTGGGGGAGGGTGGGGACCATCAAGCACAGCGTCAGACGGCACCACCCGGGTTGCGATTCCCTTCTCTGCGACTTTCTCTGCACCTGTTTTCTCATCATGTGGGACCCTGTACACACACATTCTACACGTCCCGGGAGCTGTCAACAAACTCAGATGAGGATTCCTGTGCTTAGAGGCCCTTGGTGACTCCCCGGCCTCCTGTCCCCGACCCCTCTCCTTGGCCGCAGGCGCTAGTAAGGGAGAACCGGCCAATTTTCAGAATAAAACGCAGTTTTATTATGACAGGGAAAGACTACAAGCCGTTAAGGGGGGAGAAAAGTCAACAGGTAAACAGAGGCGTGAACATCTCGGCAAGAAAACCCACAGCACAGTCACTGGAACCTTGTTCTTACGATCATTGTTTTCAAAATCATAGTAAATCAAACAGTCACGTGAGTTATCAAAGGAACGGCAACTTCGAACAAGGGAAGCACACAGACACAGCGCAACCACCGCTCCACGACACACACGGTGGGAACCCCGGCGGCCCTGGCCCCGCGTCCCCGTCCCAGCTTTCTACTGGTCACACCCCCAATCACGACACCTGAAGTGGGAAAGCCCACTGTCCCACGGCGACACGCAGCGACGCAGCCACCATCCCGGAATACAAGTTGCTCTAAATCGCGCCTACATGGTGGTTGTCAGGGAACATTTCCTGCGTTGAGTAGCCAGATGTGAGCTGAAAGGAAATAAATTCCTAAACCCTTCACATGATCTGTTCCTGACGAGGTGAAACCACAGCAGGATGTCAGCACAGGGGGGGCCACGGGCCACGGGAGCCCCCAGGAGTTCTCCCAGTCACAGGGGGCGCTCAGCAGAGCTAAGTGCTTAGAACACCAACGTTGGAGGGAAAAATGGGATTAATTTGGATACAAAAGGTTAAAATAGTGTCTAGTAAGATGAACAGCCTGTCCACCCCAACCTCACGCTCTTGGAGCAGCTGAGCCCCGAACACAAGCGAGGAAGGGGTGCAGGGCTGACCAGACCACAGGGACCTGCCAGAACCCCTAGGACCAACGTGTCTGCCCCCTCCCGACCTGCAAGGAGGGCACCCGGGAAGCAAGGAGCCCACGGGCCGCAGCAGAAACCTCACGGCTCAGAGGCTCAGATATTCGTGGTAACCTCAGCCGAGGCCCCGTGGGACGCGCTGTCATCAGAGGCCCGACGGCTCAGCCACACGCCAGTGGGCCACGCAGGCCCGAGAACACACATCCACCTGCGGATGCTTCCTGCTGTTCCACAACATGCCTGAGACTTGTGCGCCTCAAACACAGAAACACAACTGGGCCAGAGCCCAGCTGTGTCCTGGGGATTCCCCCGGGCGCGACCTCTCTGCGGAGCAGATTCCAGCTCTTCCCACACCGCCCGGAGCGGCTCAGCGCCCCGATAAAGCAGCTGACGGGCCAGCTTCTGCACAACCTGTCGGCTGAGGACACTTGACACGTTTTTAGGTAGTGAAAACAATGAAAATTCTGTGACACGTGGAAAGCGTGTATGAAATTCAAATTTCACTGTCTGTAGAGGGAGTCTTCCTGGCACCCAGCTATGCTCACATGTCACCCGAGCAAAGGCAGCAAGGCTTGGACCTTCGTGGAAATAGTCTGCTGACACCACTCTTGTCCAGGAAGGGACGCAGGCGGGGCCCCAAACTGCGCCCCCATGTCCCCGAGCTGTGAAGTCTCAGAAACGGACAAGCTAACTTTGGGTCTGAACAGACAGATGCATGCAAGATCCCACACGAGGAACAGGGACACTGTCCCATCTCCTGCATCAGCCCTTCCCACAGCTCAGCCCCAGTCCTGCGGCCGCGGACACTGAATGCAGGCAGAGGCCCAGCTTGAGGTGGCTGCCCACTTCAGCCCCTCACACCAGTCTCCAAGCCGTGGCCAGGAGAGCTCACGGGACGGGAGGCAGGAGGAAACATAAGGAAGGAAACACTTCATTTACGCAGGAGGTTAACGAGACGGAGACCGTCGGGACGGCAGCCTGCTTCTCCTCCGCTGTGCCTGCCAGCCTGCGCCAGGACTTGGTGCTTCCGGGGATGGGGGAGGCAACAAAAACAGCACCGATTAAAAAGCAAGATTCACGCCCCAGAATAAAGGGAACCGATCTAAATGTCAGCGTGAGCTTGGTAATTCGTTCACATCACTATCACGTTTATGAAAATCACCATCGTGGAAAGAGAGAGCAAGAAGTGTAAGAAAATGCCTATTTCTAGAAAACCAGGGCTGGGGCTGGGGAGAGACGGTGATGTCCGGCATGCAGGGGGGTCTCAGTGATCAGCAGAGAGGACGTGCTTGGAAACCCATGAGTGTCTCCAGCTCCACAGGCCCGGGGGGGCGCCTCCCTCTGCCGGCAGGACGGAGGCTGAGTCTGTGCTGCGTGAATGTCACACGAAACCTGGGGAGACGCCCGCCAAGTCCCCCATCCCCTCCACTCCCCAGCTTTCTGACCCACAATGTGGAACAGGCCGGTGCAGTAGAACTGAGCCCTGGCGCCCAGGGGGTCCGTGGGGAGCACAGGAGACACCAGTGGCGCATCCTCCCAACCCCCCACCCCCACACGCCGCCACCCAACCATCTGAACACCTCGACCCTGGGCACCCGCTCCTCGGGGCCCAGGCTGCAGGGGAGCCGGCACTCTCGGGGTGCTCCTGGTGGGTGGCGGTATCCGGAGGCTGGGGAGGTCGGGGTTGCTCTGCGGGCCTTGCCAACACGCCGCCCGCTACTCGTACTCCAGGAACTGCTTGTGGTAGAACAGCAAGTATCTGCAGGGGAGACAGCTGCTCGTAACCACCCTGACCGCAGCACCACCCCACGACCTGAGGATGCAGGGCACCTGCCCGCAGGCCCCCCACTGCCCCTCCCTCATGTGGGGTTGCTCTCGGAAGGATGCCTGCAACGGTTCCAATCAAATCCACCTCTGCCCCGGCCTCCTCACAGCCACAAGGTTGTCCCCTCAGACCCGCACTCCACGTGGGGGCCTCCCAGCCGCTCAGGCAGCTATGCGGGAGCCAAGAACCCCACTGACATTCTCTCCACCAGGGACTCTGTGGAAATGAAGGGGTCTCCCCTCCAGACCCCCCCAACATCGAGCCTGGTGGGTTCCGGCCCAGGCGAGCAGCGCCTCCGGCTGCAGACGCACCCCTCGCTGTCCAGCACGTCGGCGATGCCAGCCTTGGTGATGATGGCGTCGTCACACTTGAACCACTGGTCCTTGTGCTGACGGATGAAGCTGGTGTAGTGGCCGCTCTCCAGGGTCCCCTGGTGGTTGACCACCGCAAACAAGGAGTACCTGGGTCGGAGAACGGCTATCACCACTTTCATCACCACCGGAGACAACCTCCCGCAGCCAGAAGCTGCCCCGAAGGCAGCCCCCCACACTCAGACACCAGGACACACCCCTGCGCCCCCCGCACTCAGACCCCTGCGGGACACCCCCCACCCCAGCACTCAGACCCCTGCAGCCTCACGCACTTGTTGTCGTTACTGAAACCGTCTGTAGGCGGCTGGTGCTGTCCATTCATCCGGCTCTCTTTGCTGTAACAGACACGGCAAACTCTGCACCATCTCAACACTGACGCGACCACGCACAGCAGCAAGGGGTCGGGTTGGGGGGCGCCAGGCTCTGTGCCACGTGCGTTTTACAGACACTTTCTGCTTTTCCCAACAGCTGCCATCTCAGGCAGAGCTCACCCTTGAGTGACGGCTGGGGACCTGCAGCCAGGGTGGCGGCCCGACCCAACAGGACCACACCAGTTTCGAGGCTCGGAGGCAGGGCCAGCCCAGACCCGTGGCCACCCTCCTCGGACCCTGCCAAGGCCCCGTCGACACTTGGGACTTCAGGGCTTTGGCCTGAAGGTGGGCAAATAGAATTCTGTGGCTTCAAGCCACCCAGCCTGTGGTATTTGCTACAAATCCCGGGAAAGGACATCTGCTAAGCACGTGCCCTGGTGTTTCAGGAGCGTAAACTGTAAGTGGCCTAAGACACAGACTTGAGAACCAGGCAGGTGGAATCCACAATTGCAAAACCACTTTGTCGACCTGTAGTCCAGCCTTGGTGCCAATGGCTACAGCACTGCCCTGCACCCCCGCCCGCAAGTCCAGGCCCGTAAGTCAGCAGAGGAAACCCAGCCCTGGAGCAGCCTGTCTGAGGAACGCCACCCCCTCACACTGGGCGACCTGGACTGAGATCAGGACAGGCAGGTACCCGGTGCCACCCCTGCCCGACCGCGGACACAGGGGCAAACCTGGAGGCCATGAAGGGGGTCATGTCCAGCTCCAGGGGGAACGACACGTAGGTGGTGATCTTCCGCCGGAGTTTGGCCGAGTGCTCGAACCGCTACAGAAGCCGGGGAAAGGGAGGGAAAGGGCTGCACCCAAACTGGGCCTTCTGTTTATTCTCTGAGCCTCCTGTGGCCACACCTGGAGCCTGAGCCCCACAGACGGCATGGACCCCCATGTCACCCAGGGGCTGCTCCAAGCACAAACCCGGGTGTAAACCCCACACAGCACACGGGGGAGGGAGACCAGCACACTGTGGTCTGTGGCCTCTCACCAGACAAGACACCTCTGGGTCAGGGCCAGGGCCTGGACCCACCAGGGAGGCAGGGTGGGGTTCTGGATTTTGTTTTATGGTTTTAAAGGGCCATGGAATAAGAGAATAAGCAACGGAGATTGTATGATTTATATACAAAATCAGATCAAAAATATCCAAGAACAGCAAACACATGATCTCTGCTGTGCAATCTTCTTTTACAAACACGTGCACTCGATTGACACCCACTCCTGACCCTTTGCAGGAAAGGCCTGCCCACCCCCGACCAGACCTTAATGCTAAAGGCCTTGTGTGCTTGTAAGTAAAAGAAAACAGGAAGCTTAGGGAGAGTATGGAAAAGTCTGGGGGCTGAGAGGAGTAAAAAGGCTAGCCCCCGCTCCCTTGGTAACGCACACTATTTCATCCTGAAACAATCACGGACCAGAGCCCCGGCCCCCACCGAGGCAGCACAGCCCTCGCCAGGGCCGCCGCGGCCTCACCTTGAGGTGGAAGCAGGCCACGATGGGCAACTTCTTCATGGTGAGCTGCTTGGTGGACTCCTGGTAACTGTGGCAGCCGCTGCACTTGATCTTGGCGCTACTTCCTAAGTGCTCCGGCCTGGTAAACCTGCAACGCATTGAAGAAAAATTTTAGGAAAAAGGAAAGGAGAAATGAGAGGAAAACAGAAGAGTTATTTGCGTCACTTTCAATCGGTTCATTTTTCTCCTAAAAACACCTGTACCATCTGGGATGTTTATCATTTTTCAACCAAAAAGAACTGCTACTTCTTTCATCTTCTCTCCTGTCACTTCAAAAAGTGTTTATCTTAAAAAAAACTTAAACGTAAAGTCTGATGAAATTGCAATAACTTTCTAACTACCATGACCCAGCAATCAAGTCTGTCCCTGAGAAGTGAACGCTTCCATCCACACAGACGCTGTCATGAATGGTTACTGCAGCTTCATCTGCTAAGGCCGAAAAACCTGGAAGCAACACAGACACCCTTCGGCGGCTGAGTGGCTACACCGGGTCCATCGTGGAATACTAGTAAGCAGTGAAAAGGAACCAACGCGTGATGCATGCAACCTGGGTGACTCTCCAGAGAATGACGATGAGTGAGAAGAGCCAATCCTGAAAGGTAACGTGTTGTATGACCCCGCTGACGTCACACTCTTGACATGTGGACTTTGTAGAAATGGAGAACAGATGTGTGCCGGCCAGAGGTGAAGGAGGCAGCAGTGGTGGGAGGGCGGGGGGTGGCTGTGAGGGACCCTGTAGTGAAGGAGATGCCCCGCACCCTGACTGCACCATGTCAATGCCCCGACTGTGATGTTGTGCTATAATCTGACAAGATGCTCCCACCGGGGGAACCTGGGTAGAGAGCACACAGGGTGTCCCTGGATTACATCCTCCAACCGCAAGCCAAACTGCAGTTATCTCAAAATTAAGAGCTAAAAAAATGAGATGTTTGGGGAAACAGTGATTTTCTACTGAAGAAAACAGGAAAAGGAGATGCCAAGTAGTCAGCAAGCATTTCTGGCACAGGAGGAAGCTACCAAAGATACAAACCCACAAAACAGGTGTTTGAATGTATTTTATATCGAATCTTAAAAGTTTAAAGCTGAAGACGAACAAAAAATTCAACCTTTTCACAACCAGGTCTGGAAATCCTTGTTTATCCTATGGAAATTGTCAGATAACGTAGGGCAAACTGGTGCCCAGACCAAAGCGACCCTCCTGACCACAGCACCAGGAAGAGGGGCCGGGCAGTTGGCGGAATCTGGGAGGAGGGAGGATGGAGCCCAGCCCCTGGGGGCTCGTGCCCCTGCCAGAATCAGTCCACAGACTCCACCACCAAAAACAGGTGGGAGATTATATGTACAAACAACTGGTCTTTTCAGCACAGAAATGGCAAAGCAAGACAGATCCCTGGACCTGAGGGGCCGGGAGACCAAGCCCTACATGCGGACCCAGTTGGGGCCGTGACTGGGACAAACTGTATTAAAAAAAAAAAAAAAAGCAACCACTAGGGCAGTTTGGACGCTGACTGGACACCCCTGGAAGGGAGAAGAGAGCCCCCGATGACAGGGAGACTGGACAGACCCCAAAATCCAACTGTCCAACCCAAACAGCTGTGCCTCCTCACCCGCTGGCTCAGGGCTCACAGGACCTTGGCTGTGCTCCCCCCTCAGCTAGGTGAGGACCAACGTGGCCAGTCGGGCTGGGAAGACACTCCCATTCCAGAATCCCAAAGCCAATGCTGACCACTCCTGGAACGTGGCGGACCCAGTCCTGGGTGCGTCCCTGTAACTGGCCAGCCCGAATCACAGAGACCACGCTGCTGCGGAGTGACCTTCCTCTCCCAGCGAACGCGGGCGGCTCCTACCTCCGCAGGCAGTCCGTGAGGGTCGTGGTCCCCGCCACGTGGCTCTCCCCGTTCACCACGCTGCCCTCGCTCCCAGGGCTCAGTGGCCAGAAAGGGGTGGAGGAGCCGGGCAGGTCCAGGCTGATGTCCCAGAAGGGGTCGATGGTGGTGGAGACGCCGCTGGGGGGTGGGAGAGGAGGACAGGTGAGCACCAGTGGCCCACACCCCAACGCCCGGGCTCTGGGGCCACCTCAGTCATCTCAGGAATTTCGGGAAAATACAGATTCTCAGGCCCCAAATCCAGAGGTTCTGAATCGAGGGATGTAGGTGAGCCTCTGAGGGCCGTGGACCCTAGGCCTGGGGGACATTGGGCCTCCAAGGACAGTGACACCAGGAGCAGCAGCACTAGCCCAAGGGCGGCATGAGATGGCCCCTCCTAGAGATTCATTGTAAACTTTGCAAAAAGGAGTCCCGCAGGCTGGGAAACGCACTGGAAGTACCTGATCAGTCAAGGGACACGCCCTCTTGCTGACAGCTGGGTGGAAAAGGGCCGACAAGGAGGTGATTCGAAACAGAGCCCAGGCCCCGCCCAGAGCGATGGCCCTGCTGCGTGCTGCTCCACTGGACACTTGTCACATGGGCCACACCGACCCCTCCCCAGGACCGCAGGGCCTGGTGGATCCAGGTTCTGAACTTCAGGGGATCACGACCAGGGTTTTTAAAGACTGAGATGAGCAGCACGGAGGGGGAAGGGGAGAGCTCCCTTGGCCTCGCCAACATGCACCCTTGCCTCCCGGAGCAAAAGTCTGAGCCCAGTGCACGAGGGGCACAGCTTGGAGGAAACGTAAAGGGTCTGTGAACTGACTGACAGCGTGTCAAGTGGTTCTGTCCCTCTGAAAGGGGCTGTGCTCAGCTCTTGGTACAGGGACCCCAAGGGATGCAAGGACGCCCTGACCTGTGGGTCACCCGCTAACCCCTTGGGCCTCTTCTCAGAGCTGCTTCCTCCTGGGGATCTGATGGCAAGGCTGCCAGAAGGACACGTGTTTCTCCTCCAGCTGCCGCGTGAGAGGTAGGGCCCTGGCACCGCGAGGCCTGACCCTCTGAGTGTGCCTCAGATGTGGGCCAGCAGGAGGCGCACTTACTGGCACACCTGGCAGGTGACGTCTGACTGCAGCCCGCCTGTGAAGATCTGGTCTATGATGCAGCTGCAGTGGTTGGGGTTGTCAGCCTTCTTCCCACTGTCATCACCTGGGGGGACCACAGCACGTCACCTGGGCCACCGCCGGGGCAGCCCCCAGGGCAGGTGAGGGGCCCAGCTTCCACCAGACGGACTTCTACCCATTTCCTCGGCCTCCCTACCGTCCATCTGACACCAAAATGCGTCTCATGCCCGGTAACTGGGGGCGGTTACCAATTCCTTTTTCACGCACAGAGTAACTGGGTAGTTTCCCAGTGTGGAAGGGGCTGGACACACGGTGGGTCAGACGCCCCAGGTAGGCCTGCTCTCCTGCACCAGACATAAGGTATCCATGACCATGAGGCGTCCTTGCAGGACCCCTGCCCTCTCTCGCACCAGCTCCTGCCTCCAGGACCCCAAAAGCTGTTTCCTAGCCGCTGTGCCCAGGTGAGACCCACTCCTCCTCCACAGTTCAGCACGTTTTATTTATATAATTTATGGGTAAATCGAAGACTGTAATACTCCCTTGGTGGAACATGAAACACACTAACGTACATCGTATACACATTCTGTGTGACTTTAAGTCAGCTAAACGACAGGGAGTGCCTGTGTGTGTCCATCTGCGTGTTTATTAAATAACAAAAGTTAAATTCCGACAGAGGAACACAGGGTAGCCCCTGGACCTCCTGACAGCAGTTCCCTGGAGACTGAAGAGTAAACGCTTCCCAGAAAGGTTTCAAACTCATGGGACGAGATGTTAAGATCAGGGAAAACGCACACAAGACGACGCCTAGAAAAGGCAAAGCTCACCATCTGAGGACACGTGACCCTGAGCCAGGGGGCCGGGCTGCCCCGTGAGGATGCTGCACTGTGAGGAGAGCCATGCACATCTTCCCAAACATTTCAGAGGGAACCACCCCTGAGAAGATCACAACGGCCCCACTGTTTTTGCCATGTGACCACTGTGACAGCAGTGCACTTCCAAACAGAGGACGCTCAGAGGAGACCGACGCCAGCAGGAGTCTGCTTTGGCACAGCGGCTCTTTCCTCTGTGCTACAATTTACCCCAGGAAACCAAATCTTACGCAGCATTACAAGGATCATGTGTGTGTTTTCAGGAGAAGAAAATGTAAGTTCCCCCTCCACCCCCCACAAAATACGCAACAACAACAGCTAGAACCAAAGCCACAACAGGTGACCGCAAGGAGACACCACCCCCAACTGGGCCGTCTCTGAGATGGACCTCTCACTCCAGACCCACCAAACACCCCAGCCCCCCAGTCAGTGAGATTCACCCTGTGTCCACACACTTCAGCCCAGGCCCTCAAACAGGGAGGCCCGGGGGAGGGCAGGAGCCCACCCCCCATTCTCCCCGCTCCAGCCCGCTGCCCCTACCCCAATCTGAGGACCCCAGCGAGGCCGCAGCCCTCGGGGGCCAGGCTGTGGGGCTGCATCACAGGAGCCGATCCCTGTGAAACCCCAAGAGACTTTAAATGAAAGGCCTAGGAGGGACCTAAACTGGACGCGACTTGGGGTCAGGGTGGCGCCAGTGAGGGCGCAGCTTCACTTGTGTCCCCAGCTCCTCTGGCCACTTAAGACCTTTGGAGACTCCACTGGAGAAGGGAGCCAACTTGGAGGTAAAGCTGGGACTTGAGCCCATCGGGAAGCTCTGGGCAGAGTAGCTCCTGCCACCGGGCAGACACGCGGCTCCCCCACCAGCTCCCCCACCCCAAACCAGCGAGGGCGGAGGACACACCCCCATGGCCTCCTTCTCCTCCACACTGGGCACACAGATCAGACATGACAGGTCCCGCGCTCCTAGCACCAGCCCCCCTCCCTGAACCTTTGCAGTCCCTCACCCCAGCCCCCCAACCTTTGCAGTGCCGGTGCAGGACGTCCAGGGCCGCGATGAGGAACTCGTGCGCGTCCTGCTGCTCGTACCCCGCCAGGTGGCGGGCGTGAGTCCACACCAGGTGCAGCAGCTTGTATGGGATGTGGGGGGCCCGGTGCCCGGAGTAAAACTGCTCAGAGAGGAGAAAGCACGGCCTCGTCAGGGATGAA